AGGGTATTAAAAGATGTTTATTTATTGACTACAGTACCTGGATAGTACAGTTCTCAAAACATTGGTTTCTATTTGCAAGCCAAAAAAAATTAGTGAATTCACTAATGAACAACTTTATGAACTTTTGGTTAAGCATTAATTACAGTTAATGACATTTCAAGTACAGGATTTCAAAGTTCACTGCCAAGAAATGAGCTTAAGTAAATTAATTTTCTTTTAATAAGGATCTCTTTGTAAGTCTCTTTTGTTGGCCATTGCACAAAATTCACGGCACACTTAATCTTAAAGAAAGATGATTCTCCTATTTACAAAAAGGCAAGACCATTAAGCATTTGCAACTGTGCCGTGCACGTCACCGTAATATATATGTACTCGGCACGCAAGCAGAACGTACTGGCTGAAATCACTTTCAGTCTGGCCTAGTAGTGCCAAACGCAGCAGAATGACAGCGAAATAACAAAAGTCTAAAAAACCTCTCTTGTTCCTTCTCAGTTCTCAGTCGTGTAAGCTCGACAATCCGGACAACTTCTCTCCATATAATTAAGTCGATGAGAATTTAATATATAAGTGATAATTATTAGGTTGTCAGAATTAGCAACATGATATAGTTAATTTTTAGTTAGGAGTTGCCGGGGAGAAACCAGGGGTTTTAGGATGTAGTTTTATAATTTAATATGCCGGTTTCTCCTTAAGAGGAACTGGCATTCAGCTTGTTAACAAAGCTCATCAAAAGCTGGATAACAGTGTTAACGGCAATGGGCACGATCAACCTTAGGGCGAATCACTTTGTAATGAATTATGTGGCAATTCGTTGATTTTAAGCTCCTTGATTCAGTCTCTACCCAAAAGATCCTGAGTGCCACCCTCAGCCTTGTACAGCTTTAGCACTCTTTTAGTTTTCCTGATTACCACTTCAACTGTTTGCTACCCAATCAAGTTTATGCAATGGCCACTAAGTCAATTTTGTATTTGAATGTAACAAGAGAAATCTTCCCAAACTTTCCCAAGTTCGCCGACACATAACAGAAACACAACTTCCTGTATCTAGTTGCACAATCACGTATGTTTTTGATAAAAGTTCTACAATTACTACCCTTTTCATTGTCAGTTACATTTACTTCTCGGTTGTACATTCCTTTTCCATGTCCACCAATTTGTTTGTTTTGAAAATCTGTTCTACTTTTAATTTTGCAAACTTTTGCCAAGTGACCTTTTGTATCACAATTATTAAATATTGCATTTCTAAATCTACATTGTTTCCTTAAATGGCTACCACCACAAGAATAGCATAAATAGTTTGAATTTGTAATTAGAACCTCTTCATTGCTCTCATTATTGGAAAACGAAATTAATTTTTTTTTGCTGAAGGGGTGAAAACTGAACTTTTTTTAAGGGAGAGGAGGGAAAATGCTTTTATGCACACAGGTAGCCAGCCTGTAATGTGAGACTCCTGAATCTATCACAGACTACTCACTAAAAAAACCCCTCTACTCTGTTGGACACAGACCTGGAATTGTTTGTCACATTACTTCAAGTCAGGCCAACATGTGACCTAAGCCCTCAGGGCTCTCACCGTTTTTGGCATTATGACCTACACCGCATCCCGGTCAAGGTCGAGCTTCTTGGCGCGGAGAATACCCTGGATGTAATGTGACACACAGGTCCAATTGTCCTCACCCTCCGTCATCATCGGTATGACCGTGTCCACTGACAGCAGTCCTACTAACTGTTGAGCCTCAAGGCGGGGCCTTTCCCAACACTAGCAGTGGAAAAAGGTATGTTCCACGTCATCGGGAATGCCTGGGCAGTATATGTTAATTGAAGTCTTGTTTTCCAGTTTTTTCACTACTTTTGTACTGACCTGTGATTTTTTTCTGCTTCTCCTGCATGTAAGACATTGTATTATTCATGTAAAAATGGTGCAACCGTTAACAAATAAATAAATAAATAAATAAATATGCAATCGGGTGACACGGCTTTGCCCATCCTGAACAGGTACAACCGGAAAAAGCCGTGACCCGTCAGAAATTGGATGAGGTAGAACTCCACCTCTCCGCACCGCCGATTAACCCAAGGTTGGACTTGCTGCATCAGTCGCCTGGTCCGGCGTCCCCGAGTCTCCTGTTTCCAGCTCTCCTGCCACAGCTGGTAGGTGCGGGTGCGTTCCTCTGTTCGTGCCTGGTCCTCCTCACGGCGCTGATAAATTGCCTTTCTCTCTGCCGCCCAAAGTTTGATGGGGATGACTCCAGCAACCACCAGGACAGCGGGTTCGGACACTGTTCGGTAGGCGGATGCAACTCTTAGTGCTGCCTGACGCTGCACTCGGGCGAGCCGCATCCTATATACCTCCTTATTGAGAGCGTCTGCCCACACCTCAGCACCGTACAAGAGTACGGACTAGACAGAAGACATTAACAGCCTTCTACGGCTGGACCGAGGACCTCCGACATTGGCCATCAACCGGCTAAGAGAGCAGACCACCCTAGCGGCCTTGTCCGCCGTACGGAAAATCTGATCCCGCCAGCTAAGCTTGCTGTCCACCATAACCCCAAGGTACTTGGCAGAACGAACGGTCTGAACTTCCACGGCCCCTACCCTCAACGGCACACGATGGTGTCAATCCGTTTTTTTGTTAATATCACGATCTCAGTTTTGCTCAAAGCAAGCGAGAGACCGTTGTCTGTCATCCATGCGTTTATGGTACGCATAACTCGGTTCAGCTTTAGCTGAGCCAGCTCAACGCTACGTGCAGCTATCAAAACTGCAACGTCGTCTGCGTACCCAACCAAAACAGTTTCCTCAGGCAATTCAGACCTCAGGAGGCTGTCATAGGCGACATTCCAGAGGTCTGGGCCGAGTATGGAACCTTGGGCGGCACCGGAAGTGACACTCATCGTCCGTGGGCCCTCTGTAGTTTCTTACATGAGGAGGCGGAACAGGAGATAATCCTCTATGATACGCATGAGGTATGCCGGAACGTGGAAGGTGTTCTCCAGAGCATCCAGCATATCGCACCACCTCGCAGAATTAAATGCGTTTCGCACATCGAGAGTTACGAGCAGATAATAAGACTTTATTGTTAATATCATAGAATACAAAATTACTATCACTTAAAGATGGCAGCTTCCTCTGGGGTACAGTGGTTCACTTTGTTTGGGGCACAATGGGTCCCATTGAAAATGCATGATATAATCAGAAAAAGCATATGAAGTGATATACATGAGAAAAATGTTGCCAACTCACAATTTTGTGTTCGATGAAGAAGGAATTCATTTGGCAGACCATAAACACATTGAGAGAAAACAACCAAAACCAAAACCAAAGAAGTTGACATTTCCACAAAACTTTGAATCCTATAACACGTGCATTAAGACATTTATTTTCTATTGAGCAACATTTCTGAAAATAGCTTTTTCAGATTTGCAATTGTGTTTCCAGGAATACAACATGTTGGTGTGATAATTTGTTCTTTTTTTCTTTATGACCCATTGTGCCCCACTATGTGACCCACTGTACCCCTACACGGTAATGTTATAGAAAACAATTTATCTAGTGTAGTAAAACTTAATATTTAGTTGCAAAACAATTTTTTTATATCAGAAGAAATGCCAAGCAATAACAATAAATATTTAACTCACCCTAATGAAAAATACTATGAATTAAAATTATAAAATCAAAAAGTGACCCACTGTACCCCGCCCTCCCCTAATTGAATAAACTATCTTGCACTCTAAGATGTTAATAATCCCATCCTTGTCACCAGTTTTATCTTTGAAGAAAATAATTGTTAGGTAAACGAGTTTAATAAAACTGAACTGAACTTATTCATAAGTAAAAACTAGAAACAAACACTATAACAAAAATATACCCCGCCGCAGCAAACCTGCAGACTAAGCAAATTTCCATTTACCTGATTCCATTAAATCTATTTAAATAACATTAGGTTTAACAAGTACCTAGGTAAGCTGTTACAGGAAGGGTAATAAAGTGTGTATTTAGTCAATTATTAATAGCTACCATAAAATAAATAAATTTGCCAAGTTTGATTAAAATATATCCACAAACAAGCAAACTACAACAGTTAACTTACTCTCCGTAAGAATAACATAGGAATTTTAAATTTATATTTTTTAGAATAGTTTCCACAACCAATAACCGTACAATACGTCTACTCTTTCAGAATCAATTGTAGCTTTGTTGTTTTTGCAGACTTGCTTAAGCTTAGTGTTGTTGTACTACTTGTACTACTACCATAAATTTTCTGTAACATAAACATAACTTAAACGCGTACAATATTTCCGGTATTTGATTTTAAAGTAGTTACAAATTTTCCTTTTTGCAAGAAACGTTGATTAGGGCCTAAACCATAAGAGATAGAAGAAAGGTTGTAATAACTTTTTTAAAGGAAAATATACTTAGGTGTAGATAGACGCTTAAACCACCTTTCTATCATTAACCGTTTGAGAGTTAGATTCGGAAACGTAAACCACTCACACGCACAACTTTCCCCCACGAGTTGTGACCACCCTAGAAATGCGAAATCATTGATTTTTTTCATCTACTATATGTTCTCAACAATAATCAAAAGTCAAATTTTGTCAGACTTTCAGTGCATACTCAACCCGTATGGCGCCCGGCCTAATAGCTCGTATTAGAGTAAAGGATAATCATGAGGTTAACACGGTAAACTTCAGGGCCACTGGGGAAAAGCCCGAAAGTCCGATCAGAATAAAAACTACTTAATTATCCTATTTAATGCCTAAAGAATCATTGTACTAAATTTCGCCTCTTAGGTAAATGAGAAGTAGGAGAATTAGTGATGAGTTAGTCAGTCAGTCAGTCAGTGAGGGCTTTGCGTTTTATAGGAATAGATAACACGAGCGTAAAGTCTCTTTGCTACACTCAAGAAACTTTCAAGTCTGCATTTAACTTCACTCTCTCAAGTTCAGCAAAGTGCCACTTTGCACAATTGTTACACAAAAATAACTATTTCAACTAACTTGTTAAGTCGTCCAGCTCGTAAAGCGTTGAGAGCTATGTTGGTGACATTGAGACTGAGTACGGCTAAGGGGAAGGGTTGTGTCTCTGAGTTGGCGACTGTGTGGAGCTTGAGAGACAGTGGTCTAGTGGGTGTGTTGGTGGCCAGGTAGAGAAACTGCATCAGTCCCAACATGCCTACGCCACGTAAGTCTGTACTGGGGTCTGAGCCCTGCAAACAAATTTAGACAGTGATCTAGTGGGTGTGTTTGGTGGCAAAGTTGAGAAACTGCATCAGTCCCAACATGCCTACGCCACGTAAGTCTGTGCTGGGGTCTGAGCCCTGCAAACAAATTTAGACAGTGATTTACTGGGTGTGTTTGGTGGCCAGGTAGGGGAACTGCATCAGTCCCAACATGCCTACGCCACGTAAGTCTGTACTGGGGTCTGAGCCCTGCAAACAAATTTAGACAGTGGTCTAGTGGGTGTGTTTGGTGGCAAGGTAGAGGAACTGCATCAGTCCCAACATGCCTACACCACGCAAGTCTGTGCTGGGCTCTGAGCCCTGCACACAAATTTAGACAGTGGTCTAGTGGGTGTGTTTGGTGGCAAGATAGAGGAACTGCATCAGTCCCAACATGCCTACACCACGCAAGTCTGTGCTGGGCTCTGTGCCCTGCACACAAATTTAGACAGTGGTCTAGTGGGTGTGTTTGGTGGCAAGATAGAGGAACTGCATCAGTCCCAATATGCCTACGCCACGTAAGTCTGTACTGGGGTCTGAGCCCTGCAAACAAATTTAGACAGTGATCTAGTGGGTGTGTTTGGTGGCAAAGTTGAGAAACTGCATCAGTCCCAACATGCCTACGCCACGTAAGTCTGTGCTGGGGTCTGAGCCCTGCAAACAAATTTAGACAGTGATTTACTGGGTGTGTTTGGTGGCCAGGTAGGGGAACTGCATCAGTCCCAACATGCCTACGCCACGTAAGTCTGTACTGGGGTCTGAGCCCTGCAAACAAATTTAGACAGTGATTTACTGGGTGTGTTTGGTGGCAAGGTAGAGGAACTGCATCAGTCCCAACATGCCTACACCACGCAAGTCTGTGCTGGGCTCTGAGCCCTGCACACAAATTTAGACAGTGGTCTAGTGGGTGTGTTTGGTGGCAAGATAGAGGAACTGCATCAGTCCCAACATGCCTACACCACGCAAGTCTGTGCTGGGCTCTGAGCCCTGCACACAAATTTAGACAGTGGTCTAGTGGGTGTGTTTGGTGGCAAGATAGAGGAACTGCATCAGTCCCAATATGCCTACGCCACGTAAGTCTGTACTGGGGTCTGGACCTGCAAACAAATTTAGACAGTGGTCTAGTGGTTGTGTTGGTGGCCAGGTAGGGGAACTGCATCAGGCCCAACATGCCGGGATCACATCATTTGTCCGAGTTTTCAACTGTCCGAGTTTGTTAAAAATTACAAAATATTTGAAAAATCATTTGTCCGAGTTTTCAACTGTCCGAGTTTTGATAAATAACTAATAATAATTAGATAAATCAACTGTCCGAGTTTTCATTTGTCCGAGTTTTTAAATTATTTAAAAAAATATCAAAATATCATTTGTCCGAGTTTTCAACTGTCCGAGTAGGGGCAACATCAAAATGTGACACTGCGCGCCGAGACTAGCGTGTCTAAAGCGCCTGTTCAGAAGTCGATGTGAACCCCTTCTGTGAAGGAGTCAGGCATCGTGCGAGCCGCGAGAGCCCCTCACGTCGAATAAGAAAAATTATTTTATTTTTATATGAAGCCCTGCACACACCAGAGCGATACTCCGTGCGATACTGGAGCGGGCGCGATACTTTTTCTTGGAAATTCTCTTGCGATACCAGTGGTCCGTGCGATACCATGGAGCCTTATGGAGCCGCACACACCAGAGCGAACCGCGATACGCGATACCGAGGCGAATGCGATACCGTAGCGATAGTATCGCGGTAACGCTGCATGCACTGTTTGCAGCGCTGTATCGCAGCGATACCAATGTGGCCAAACGATGAACTACTCAGTTTTGTCTTTTCTCTGTACGTGTAAAAACAACAACAACATGTCGTGTATCACCGAACATTTACTTGAAGTTGTTTATACATACTCGATGCACTATGATTTATATCACGTTTTAGCAACTATAAATTTAAAATAGGGTTCGTCTTCATTATTTGTTATTAAACTACGTTTTTCTGAAGAATTTACAATATAATTCCCAAACATTCAGACATCTTGGATTTATTAATTATTTTAACACTTAAACATTTGATTTGAATTCTCAATAGTTTTTCCAGTGCCGCTGTCAATCCAATGTTGGGTGATTGCTGACAGAATAACGTATTTAATACTGGTTTGATGATGATTCAAATTACTATTTAATAGTTCATACAATATTGTATTAGCTATAGCACAGCATATTGTAGAGGTTTTGCTGGTCAGACTAGACGAACTAGGGAGATGGTAGGTAATGGTAATGTTAATGGTAATGGAGGTGGGTGGAATCTATATAATTAATACGCTACATGAAACTTTGTCGGTTGAACTCCTCCGCCATTTCTTAACCGATTTTATCCATTGACGTCTCATTGGAAAGAGCGTGTCACGTAGATTTGCAAACTGGCCTTACATTTTTGAAAAAGTCCCTTGGGCTCTGCCCCAGTGGCTTTGAAAATCCCCATGTTATCCTTATGGAGAACATAATTGTTTACATTTTGATCAGCTGTATTATTTAATTGCTGTTATTTATTTTTCAATTCAATGAAACGCATTGAGTACATTTATTTACTATTTGAGTTTGTGTAAACATAACCCCCAAGACGGATCGTGTTAGTATGTTTGTAACTTAAATTTGTTCATTTATCGTTGTTTTCTGTAGCTATAATTTGTTTATTTGCGTTTTTTTTCTTCTTTTAAATGCCTCCAACGTGACGACAACGAAACATAGACAGGAGGCGTAATCGTGATAACGAACGCAGCTACAGAACAGTGGCGCGTAATAGGCTTAACTCATCACAGACAGCACCTGACCGTGGACAATCTAAACCATTAGGTTACAAATGCGCCCTAACACTAACCCAAAATGACTTTCCGTTCTCAATTGGCGCTCTATCGTCCTGTATCCTACCTGTGTTGCCTGTACAGCAAGGCATTTTGAGAAGGAGAAAACTGGCCGGAATGCTTTCGGTTTATCAATAACGAAGATAAACATGATCTGAGTTACACACCGTTAATCTCTGAGTTGACTCTTTTAAACTCATTGTAAATATGACTATTATTCGTTTTGAAATAACTCCTGTAATACTTTGCAATTGCTCGAATTCGAGCAACATGTACAGTAGTGCTAATTGATCCGTCAACTCATTGAAAAATATATCTACATACCAGTCTTACCTTTAAGTGATTGGGGAGCGAGCTGGCGTAGTGGTTAGAGCGCGGGACTTCAGTCCCTGAGGTCCCGGGTTCGATCCCCACCAAGTCACCAATGGATTTTATCTAACTGGTAATGCCGCAACCTCTAGGTCTAGCCTGAAGTAATGTGAAAAACAATCCCAGGCTCGTGCCTAGCGTCCTAGGAAAAATAAACCTTAAAGTGATTGCTAGCTGTTCTTTGGCACTCGCTTCACGGTAGTGGGTACTTTCCTTTTCCATAATGCCAGAAATCAAACTCAGCAACTCGTCAAAACATTCCTGATTAATTCCAGAATATGTAGAATCTTGTTTAATCTTTTCTTAACTGGGTCATGAGCGTATATGGTACTCGCCAAATCGCAGCCGTTCTTTATTTATGTCGTATACCCACATTTTCCTTGCTCTCTCATCTTCTATAATAGCACGGCTAGTTAACAGAAAAGCTTCTTCTTCATCAGACCATGTCATAGTTTTAAGTTTACACACAGTACAGTATACAAACACTAACTATAACATAACACTTTTGCAACTAGAGAGTCTCACAACCACCGCACCCTCTGAGGTGTACTGGCTTTCCCGCGCGTCCCTTTCCCGCTCTGGTGTGGAAGCACCTGTTTTCGCTGCGATATTATCGCCCAAGTATCGCAGATAAAATTCTAGGAATAGTATCGCGAGTCCCCAGCGATAAAGTATCGCTCCGGTGTGTACAGGGCATAAGACTAATTTTACAATTATTAATTATAAAATTAAACTCTCATCACCTAACACAACCAACCAAACTTGCTGATAATATAAAATACCCCCGCCATTATTATATTATCAGCAAGTTTGGTTGGTTGTGTTTTTTGATGACAGTTTAATTTTATAATTAAAAATTGTAAAATAAAAATAATGTAATTTTTCTTAAGTCGACGTGAGGGCCTCTCGCGGCTCGCACAATGCCTGACTCCTTCACAGAAGGGGTTCACATCGACTTCTGAACAGGCGCTTTAGACACGCTAGTCTTGGCGCGCATTGTCACATTTTGATGTTGCCCCTACTCGGACAGTTGAAAACTCGGACAAATGATATTTTGATATTTTTTTAAATAATTTAAAAACTCGGACAAATGAAAACTCGGACAGTTGATTTAACGAAATATTATTATTATTTAAACCATACTCGGACAGTTGAAAACTCGGACAAATGATTTTTCAAATATTTTGTATTTTTTAACAAACTCGGACAGTTGAAAACTCGGACAAATGAACCTCACCCAACATGCCTACACCACGTAAGTCTGTGCTGGGCTCTGAGCCCTGCACACAAATTTAGACAGTGGTCTAGTGGGTGTGTTTGGTGGCAAGATAGAGGAACTGCATCAGTCCCAATATGCCTACGCCACGTAAGTCTGTGCTGGGGTCTGAGCCCTGCAAACAAATTTAGACAGTGATTTACTGGGTGTGTTTGGTGGCCAGGTAGGGGAACTGCATCAGTCCCAACATGCCTACGCCACGTAAGTCTGTGCTGGGCTCTGAGCCCTGCACACAAATTTAGACAGTGGTCTAGTGGGTGTGTTTGGTGGCAAGGTAGACGAACTGCATCAGTCCAAACATGCCTACACCACGCAAGTCTGTTGGGGTCTTAGCCCTGCAAACAAATATATACAGTGGTCTAGTGACTGTGTTGGTGGCAAGGTAGACGAACTGCATCAGTCCAAACATGCCTACACCACGCAAGTCTATACTGGGGTCTGAGCCCTGCAAAAAAATATAGACAGTGGTCTAGTGGGTGTGTTTGGTGGCAAGGTAGAGGAACTGCATCAGTCCAAACATGCCTACACCACAGATATCTGTACTGGGGTCTGAGCCCTGCAAACAAATATATACAGTGGTCTAGTGACTGTGTTGGTGGCCAGGTAGAGGAACTGCATCAGTCTAAACATGCCTACACCACGGAAGTCTGTACTGGGGTCTTAGCCCTGCAAACAAATATAGACAGTGGTCTAGTGACTGTGTTGGTGGCCAGGTAGAGGAACTCCATCAGTCCAAACATACCTACACCACGGAAGTCTGTACTGGGGTCTTAGCCCTGCAAAAAAATATAGACAGTGGTCTAGTGACTGTGTTGGTGGCCAGGTAGAGGAACTGCATCAGTCCAAACATGCCTACACCACAGATATCTGTACTGGGGTCTTAGCCCTGCAAACAAATATATACAGTGGTCTAGTGACTGTGTTGGTGGCCAGGTAGAGGAACTGCATCAGTCTAAACATGCCTACACCACAGATATCTGTACTGGGGTCTTAGCCCTGCAAACAAATATAGACAGTGGTCTAGTGACTGTGTTGGTGGCCAGGTAGAGGAACTGCATCAGTCCAAACATGCCTACACCACGCAAGTCTATACTGGGGTCTGAGCCCTGCAAAAAAATATAGACAGTGGTCTAGTGACTGTGTTGGTGGCCAGGTAGAGGAACTGCATCAGTCTAAACATGCCTACACCACAGATATCTGTACTGGGGTCTTAGCCCTGCAAACAAATATAGACAGTGGTCTAGTGACTGTGTTGGTGGCCAGGTAGAGGAACTGCATCAGTCTAAACATGCCTACACCACAGATATCTGTACTGGGGTCTTAGCCCTGCAAACAAATATAGACAGTGGTCTAGTGACTGTGTTGGTGGCAAGGTAGACGAACTGCATCAGTCCAAACATGCCTACACCACGCAAGTCTATACTGGGGTCTGAGCCCTGCAAAAAAATATAGACAGTGGTCTAGTGGGTGTGTTTGGTGGCAAGGTAGAGGAACTGCATCAGTCCAAACATGCCTACACCACAGATATCTGTACTGGGGTCTTAGCCCTGCAAACAAATATATACAGTGGTCTAGTGACTGTGTTGGTGGCCAGGTAGAGGAACTGCATCAGTCTAAACATGCCTACACCACAGATATCTGTACTGGGGTCTTAGCCCTGCAAACAAATATAGACAGTGGTCTAGTGACTGTGTTGGTGGCCAGGTAGAGGAACTGCATCAGTCCAAACATGCCTACACCACGGATATCTGTACTGGGGTCTTAGCCCTGCAAACAAATATATACAGTGGTCTAGTGACTGTGTTGGTGGCCAGGTAGAGGAACTGCATCAGTCTAAACATGCCTACACCACAGATATCTGTACTGGGGTCTTAGCCCTGCAAACAAATATAGACAGTGGTCTAGTGACTGTGTTGGTGGCCAGGTAGAGGAACTGCATCAGTCCAAACATGCCTACACCACAGATATCTGTACTGGGGTCTTAGCCCTGCAAACAAATATATACAGTGGTCTAGTGACTGTGTTGGTGGCCAGGTAGAGGAACTGCATCAGTCTAAACATGCCTACACCACAGATATCTATACTGGGGTCTTAGCCCTGCAAACAAATATATACAGTGGTCTAGTGACTGTGTTGGTGGCCAGGTAGAGGAACTGCATCAGTCTAAACATACCTACACCACGGAAGTCTGTACTGGGGTCTTAGCCCTGCAAAAAAATACGAGGGGTGTTCAATAAAGACTGACAGTAGCTTAATTGTAAACCAACAAAGTCAAATAATTAGTTTTTTATAAGTTGGTATGAATGATTGAAGTATTAGCAACCACGAAATCAGCTGTTAACATCAAAGCATTGTTGCATTGTTGTCATAGCATCCGATTCATAAACAGTTGCACATTTTTGCCTCTAAGGTTTACTATGGCTGATTTTCGTGAGCAAAGATATGCGATAAAGTTTTGTTTAAAATTAGGGAAAAGTGCTACGGATACTTACAGCGACTTGAAAAAAGCTTTTGGTAATGATGCACTGAGTGAAAGAACCTGTTTTAGGTGGCATAGACTTTAAAAATCGACGGGAATCATGTGAGTTGGAAGGTGGGCCTGGCGCCCCTGTTTCTGCCCTTACCGAAGAAACAATCAACACTGCGGGTGTTATGATTCACACTGATCCACATTTGACTATTAGACAGCTTGCTATACTGCTCGATATATCAATTGGCAGTGTCCATACACTCATGCACGATCATTTTAATATGACACGTGTCTGTGCCCGTTGGATACCACGTCTGTTAACACCAGTTCAGAATCAAAATCGCGTTGAAATTTGCCAACTTTGGTTACAGTGCGTGCGTCGAGAAGGTGATGCATGGTGGAAAAACATTATTACTGCTGATGAAAGTTGAATTTATTGTTATGATCCTGCAACAAAACAACAGAGTACAGAGTGGGTGGAAAGAGGTGGACCAACGCCAAAAAAACCTCGTACTCAAAAGTCTGCTGCAAAGGCAATGGTGATTACGTTCTTTGATTATCGTGGTATGGTGTACACCCATACTGTACCACAGGGTCGGACAATTAATACGGATTACTACATTTTAGTATTGAAGCATCTAATGAAAGATCACATCCCCAAAAAACGGCCTGACCTTGTTGGACGCTGGAAACTGCATCATGACAATGCTCGCCCCCATGTTGCCAATACTGTGCTTCAGTTTCTAGCCAAAAAAGAAGTCGAAACTGTGCCACATCCACCCTACAGCCCTGACTTGGCTCCAAATGACGTTTTTCTCTATCCTCAGGCCAAAAAGGAGCTCAAAGGCCGCCGTTTTCCAACTACTATTGCCGCTATTAAGGCTTTAGAGGCGATTTTGAAGGTCCTGGCAAAGGAGGGCTTTGAACACGTCTTCGAGGAGTGGCAGAGGCGCTGGGACAAGTGTGTGGCTTTAAATGGTGACTACTTAGAAGGAGATACAAGTGTGAAAGTATAAGCTTTTATATTAAAGGTATTAACACGTTCGCTGCTGCCCATCAAATGGCAGGCGTAGCCCCAGTGCGGCGCAGCCTGCAGCGTCGAACAAACTCGATTGCCGGGCTTTTGGCTTTCATATTTCGGTATGACGAATATCAAATAACGTGTGGTGATGTCCTGTTTCATGACAAGAGTCGACGTAGTTTGCTAAACACCCACAGAAGATGCCATTATTTTACAATAAAACAAAATTAATATAGCACAAAATTACAGTTAACAAACGTAATGAGTGAGTCAAAATCCACCAGGTATAGTTTCAGAACGAGTAACGATAATTACAAATGGATTGCACCACAAAACTGCTAATGTCATACACGAAGCACGGACAAAAATACTCCGACCTACACCGGAGTGCGGCTGCACTCAAACGGAATAAGTTTGGCGGGTGCACATTACCGCCCGGGCGGCGCGCCGCAGCGTGGCAGAGCGCGGAGCTACCGCTCGGGCGGTAACCCGCAGCGAACGTGTTAAAAGAGTACTGTCAGTCTTTATTGAACACCCCTCGTATATACAGTGGTCTAGTGACTGTGTTGTTGGCAAGGTAGGGGAACTGCATCAGTCCAAACATGCCTACGCCACGTAAGTCTGTGCTGGGGTCTGAGCCCTGCAAACAAATATAGACAGTGGTCTAGTGGCTATGTTTGTGGCCAGGTAGAGGAACTGCATCAGTCCAAAGATACCTACACCACGAAAGTCTGTACTGGGGTCTGAGCCCTGCAAACAAATACAGACAGTGGTCTAGTGGCTATGTTTGTGGCCAGGTAGAGGAACTGCATCAGTCCAAACATGCCTACACCACGGAAGTCTCTACTGGGGTCTGAGTCCTGCAAACACACATAGACAGCAACAACTAGTGAGATGGTTTCTGACGGTTGAGATAACAGTTAGTTTTATTTACACTGTTAAACTAACACAAGAGCTTAATAATTTCTGTTATAAGAGACTGTGAAATTAACATGTAAATCAAAGTGTAAAACCAGCAAATACTAACCTGGAAGCCAATCTCCTGCCAGTGACTGCCAAACTGAGGGCAATCGAGTTTGGCTCCGGTCAGCTGTTTGTATATTGTCTGCACCATGCGCCAGTGAACTGAATCTGACCAGTCAAAACTACCTGTGTGATACACAATGTGTTAACACAATTATTGAAATAGCTTATAACAACAAAACTTTTGCACTCATTCTATTTTCATTTTTTAATGTGGGTAAGGCTACCTTAGGTTTTTACAATGTGTGTCGAGCGAGTAGAGAAAATATAATCGGGGAAGACGCCAAAATCAATACATAGTAATGTTTTATGATCTAGTGAGTGACATCAATGTTTAGTGGCCATATACATGAGGCAAATTGGCACTTTTCCTCAAACCTCTCTCATATTTTGACTATTGACATTTCATTGCTTCTTCCTTTACACAGTGTGATCAAAAAACCCCAGAACGGTCTGCTTTTGGCAAAAGTCCTGTAATTAATCATAGCTGCACATAGCAATCATTAGTTTATCTTAGGCTCAATTACATTTTCTTAGTATATTTTACAGCTCTTTCAAAGATTCTAAATACCCAGGCCTAGACCTAATTATTTAGGAGGGCCTATATAAACTGAGTAACAAACAATGAGGTTATAATAGCAGCAAAGTCACTATCATCGTTCTAGTTCATAAGATCTAGATTGCTTAAAGCATAGCCAACAACACAATAAATAAATATAGGAAACAAAAAACATTGAAACCTGAACAGCTAACAAAATAAGACAAAGATAGGCCTACAGAAAATGCAATCACATGATTTGAGACCAAGTAGGTCTGCGTAATGATGGCAGTAGGCAATGGCCAGCAGCAAATTGAATCTTCAAGATGAAAGTAGGCCTACAAGTAAGAAGTTGAATTAACAGCCATTATAAAACCATTATTTCCATTATAAAATTGCTTTGGATCTAATAATAATTACCCTAGTATTAAATAATGAAGTTGTAAAGGAATAAAAGTGATACAACTTTTATGAGCTAAGCTGAGTCAACGAGTTCTTGGAAGTACTTGACTTGACACTTGATTGTCGTGATAAAATATTAATGGGTTCTAGACTGCTAATGGGGTTTTTATTGCATAATTAACTTACTCTAGTAATAAATTATGAAAATGTAAACAAACATCTGATATAGTATATTTCGTACCTAGGGCCGAAAATGGGAACTTAAAACGATCGAGAGCTGTAAAACCATTTCGGTCCGAGGTACGAACGCTATTTTTCACCACACTATACCCTATTACCACTATTCACCACAATAATAATGTACACTAACAGTCAACACAACAACAACTTTAAGGTTATGTAAAGAAATAATTTGAGGAATCAGCAAAAATTAAAATAAATAGTTGCTAGGCAGGTGACAATAAAGCAATTATAGTGCAATGCTATGGATACTATTGTGTATTTAATGTGTAATTATACACTAATGTTTTAAGAAAGTAAGCGGGCAGCTGATTTTGCGGCCCTAGGGATGTAAAACCCTGTTTGGTCCCCAAATGACGATGACAGCTGGCATAGCCAGCAAACCGTAACTTTCAGCCACCAATTAACGTATGTAAAACAACTAAAAACATCATAGTGTGGTGAAAAACCTTTTATGTGCTCCTAACGAACTGAATTGTTATGCCCTACTTAAAATGGCCCATAAAACTATTTAAGGACATAGTCTGATATTTAAGGACAATTCCCGTACATTTCATGGCCAATAAAAGATTAAGTACAATTCCGGTTATCCCGGATTTCCCGGTTGGTAGACACTCTGAAAAAGCCTGGGGCAGATTTACTTTTTCATTTTGATGTCCCCAGAGGCCAAAAACACAATCCGTTCAAAATGTTTTATATATATATATATAAAACATGCCATTGTTTTCAACATGTCATATTAAGTGTTGTGTTCATAAACACGATAGCTTAAGCAATTATGCTCCGATTTTGATGAAATTTGGTTTGAAGGTGTAATGCAGGATAAACTTAAAATGAGTTTGCGGACCAGCATGATCGGACCGTGGGAACGGGTTTTACTTAAAAATTGGTCATTTTTGGCTCCCAAAAAACAAAATTTCCCAATTTCTCTCTCTCTCTAGACCATTTTAAAGTGGTTAAAAAGCAAAAAAAAAGGTAGCCTATATCAAAGTGTTTTAGAACGGTTATTGATTACAGAGAAAATTTCAACAATTTTAAATTTAAAATTCCCATGTTATTTGTATGGAGAATATTCTAAAATATTGTAGTTTGCTTGTTTATATATATGCAGGGTGGTCCACGAGAAACGGATGGATTTAAAAAAAGCTATTGCTCTCAAAGTTTTAAACATAGAAAATTTTTATTGTCATATTAGAAATGAAGGAAAAGTTATGCCATTTACAAAATAAAAGTACCTGGGGACCGATCTTTGCTCGGGGGACTTATTAGTATACTCTGAGAGTATTCTTTTGTCAAAGTCATTTGTCCAAAAAATATTGTTTTGCAGTCTTAACTTCTGTTAAAATAATAATAATGAAGTTGACTGAAATAATGAGAAAAATAGAGACAACCTAAACTATAGAAAATACCCAGTATTTTTCACGCTGAATTCGAAAAAGTATACAAGTAGAAAGAAAATCTTCACCTTGCTTTCCTTGAAGTATTAGCATAGATTAAGCATACCACTAAGGGAGTATTTTTTTTTTTTTTTTTTTACAGAGGGCCAGGCTTACAAGTGACCATGGGATTGCATCGCAGCTAGAACAGCTTATTGTGCACCCTCATTCACAGGTTCTCATTATCCGTCAAATACCAGGTCCTTAGTGAACCGTGAGAACCTTTTGACTATGGTAACCTGTTCTTCCCTTTTATCCCCGCAAATAGGCCAAGGGATCTTATACGTAGACCTTGTAGGGCTGGGCACATAAATATCACAAAACGCTGATACCTTCACAGCTTTCACAAGGTCTCTAGCTGAGGCAAGCTGTAGCGAGATTTCCCTGAAGGGACTCAGCTCCTGAACTTGCTTGACCAGCCAATCCTCTATGGCTGCGTTAGCACAGCTAACCACCAAGGCCTTCAAGATGGCAGCTGCTTATCCTGACATCTTTGCCACGAATGGCCCACCTGGACAGCTCCCCCTTGATTTTATTAGCTTAATTAAGCCTCCATCCGTTTCTAGTCCGGGTGTTCAGATTTGGCAAAAGCCATCTTCTCCACAGACAGTGTCTCCAAATAGGTGGGTGTCGGTGCTCTCTGGTTAACACCCGAGCCCTCCTCCTTTTTCGTCGTCTTCTTTTTTCGCCCCCTCTTTCCATCTTTCTTCCTGGAGGCTTCATTAGAGTCAGCTTTGGGGAGGCCGCCCTCGCCCTGCTTTTTTCCCAGCATCCTGGTTCCCGGAGGAACTGGCTTTGCAGGGAGCAGAGTTAGGGTGCTTGGCAGCCCACGCCAGCCTCCTCTCATTTCTGGATAGCACCTTTTCGCATTTGGCTAAGGCATCCGCTATCCTCCGTCTTCACAACTCGCACCTGGAAAGTCGTTTTTTTTTCTTTCCTTTCCGGTTTCCGCAAGCTTGTCGTCATCTTCAGATCCAAGCAGACATTCCTCCTCCATTGGGGTCAGATGGTCTAAGTTGTTCCCACGAATACCGGGTATCTAAGGTCCACCTCACCAGTGACCCGATTAGAGAGGTACATTCGACTGGGTTCCCCCTGGTTCCCAGAAGGCTCCGTTAAGACACTGAATATTAGGCCCCCAGTGCCACAAGACTCTCGGCACGGATCACAATACACCTTATGCCCCTTATTAGCCTCCCTGTAGCAGCAAACCTAATGTTATTTGAATAAATTTAATTCAAAATCAAATCAGGCAAATGGAAATTTGCTTAGTCTGCAGGTTTGCTGCGGCGCAGGTATTATCCCTTGAGGGGGACGGCCTACGCATGGTTGAAATACTGGAGTGCAGCAAAAAATCAATGCGGAAAAAGTAAGTAAATGCATCAATTAGCTACTTGGCGTACTATAACCAGTGCAAGGAAGCCCACTTTGTCAGGTAGGTTTTGTAAGGTTTTGTAGGTAGGTGTTTGTAGGAAAACATTTATACAGTTCCAAGACTTTTCAATCACACTGTATAACACCAATATGCAATCACAACATAAGTTTTAAAATCTGAAAAAAAACATAACAGACTTATGAGCATTTTGTCAGTCTTTAGGAACAAGGACTATTGGGCAAATAGCTAAAGAGTGTGAAGGCTAATGTAAGCAAAAGCGAGACTTGAATGGTGATCTTGTGTGACCTTCAGCAACATGTTTTCTTTATTTATTTGCGTTTTCAAATTAGATATAGTAAACTTAAGTATTCTGTATAAAATATTGTAAACATTCTAATGCCTATGTTTTTTAAAATAATTTTTAAAGGAAACTTTACAAAATTGAACAAACAAACCATGGATTAACAAGCAAGGGCTTCAAGTACTCTCCTGCTCAACCAGTAAAAACAGGGAGAAAAGAGGTTTTAGAACATATAAGAATAAGAAACAGTTTATGTCTAATACCATACAAATAACACAGTTTGAAATATAATGTAATACCAAAATTTCTTTTTAAATTACATCTATCTATCTATACTATTATAAAGAAGAGGTGGTGTCTGTGTGTGTGTGTGTGTGTGTGTGTGTGTGTGTGTGTGTGTGTGTGTTTGTATGAGCTAATCTCAAAAACTACTGAACCTATCGGACTCAAATTGCACACAAATGAAGCTACAGCTCTGAGGATACATATAGAACTATTCCCGCTTCAATATTGTCCTAGGGCTCAACCCCGTGGGCTTTCAAAAATCGGAGGTGAGAGATTTCAAAGTAAATTTTGATTGATGGTATCCATGGCAACAAAGAACAAACCTACAAAGTTTAAAAATGTAAACAAGCAGAACTAACTGTCAAATTAATTTTGATTTCACAATTCCACACAGCTGGTTCAAACATTCACTTAAATACTGCATGAATATTAGAACAGAGAGGGTAAGGATCATATTTAAAATAATGATGTCACTATCCTGAATGTAAACATTATTTAACATTACTTAAATGGAGCTTTCAAACCACATGTTAATGTCATTTCATTAAAATAGGATTCTTTCAGTTACATAATTTGTTTATTTTTATAATCTATAATCATTGACAGCTATGATACTGAGTCTGTTCTAATATTTGTGATATGCTGTAATAATATTTTACAGTGAATATTTAATTGAAAAAGAAATAATTCATGAATAAAGGAAATAATTAAGATTCAACAATCATTGCTGTATCAACCTAGGCCCTTATCCTGAGTTGTATGAGAATTATGTTTTAGATTTATTTTTGAGTAAACAGTAATTCAATATCCCGGCTGCAGCAAACCTATAGACTAGCGAATTTTCATTTGCCTGATTGTCATTTCCCTAAAATATGTTAGAAAACTACACTATTGACAGGTTTGGAACTATTGTGATAGCTATTCGTTTACAGTCCAAACCATTAAACAGGTTCTTTTATTATACCTTAAAATATATCATTGGTTTTGTATCCTAGGTAGCCTAAATAAGTATTCACAGTATGAGTTAACAAAAGTACTAGACCTTTTACTATTATCAAGTTAAGTAGGCTAATCAATTTTTTTTTCTAAAATAAATGGTAGGGAGTGAAACCATTTGGTATTTTCAAAGAACCAGCATTAACTCTTTTGCATACTGACCCCATTGCAAGGCACGGGTGTAGCTGCTAGCGAATACGAATAGCAGCGCTAAATTGCTGTAGTACACAATGAGACCTTTACTTTTTCCCATGGTTCAGGGGCAGTGGTAGAACAAAAGAACCAAACTTTCTTAAACCATGTCCTCACCCATAGCTGCAATAAGCATTTTATACTTATATGCCAACCCCGTACGAAGGACGGGTACTCTGCTAGTGTACATATAAAATATAATTTGATACAGATTACTTACATTGAGCAATTGCAAATACTAAATCATACTCGGGTTTCAATCCAGAATCTAACTTTGGCGGTGCTCTCAACCAATGAAACATGTCACTCCATTTGAGTCTATCAGGCCCAATGAAATGATGCTATAAAAAAATACAAGATATAAAAATGTATAGGCTACATAACATGGGTTATTCCAAGTAATTTAGATTTCCCAGAATCTAGTTAACTTGTATCAGTGTTCTACAAAAGATTTCTAGAAAAACAAAACCCAGTGGCGTACTGTCATAGTGGGGGGCCTGTGGCGGCTTAGATGAGAGGGCCTTTTTTACATATACATATATATAAGTGAAATAATAAATACCATAGTACCCTGTTTAAAATAATTTTATGATTAAAATAATTTTAACCAGGGTAGGTACCATGGTGTTTATTAAAAAGTAACCCTAAACAGTTATTAGAACTAAAAAGAAATATATTCTTTTATTGTATTTTGTATCAACGATTAAATGAGCTTACTTCCACTATTTTAAAAGTAGGCCTAACCTATTTTTTTTTATTTGAGAAAACTTTAATGCTAAATTGAGTTTTCCGTTAAGCTTTTAACATTTTACGTTTTTATGAGTTGGAGATTCGTAATGAGCACGAGCACATTCCTGTATTTATGTATTGTACTTAAATAAATAAAGTTAAATGAAATGAAATGAGCACAACAAGAAGTAACACAAATCGGGTTTTTTGCTGTCACTTCTTTTAATTTTTTTTATTTAGGACTACTATTTAGGCCTACTATTTTTGTATAGAATATATAATTATATTATCTTTATATTATACATTATATTTTGTACTATAGTTGGTCCAAACGACTTCTGCGGTCGGGGCAAAAATTAACGATATTGTCCTCGGTGAAGACAAAATCGTGTTTTCAGGGTTGTAATCTCCATCTCCCGCGGTCGCGTGGGTTATCTCCGAGACCGAGGATAAATCGTTCCTATGTTTACGGTGAAATAGTGAACAACTTTCGCGTACGCAGGGATATATTCTACATGCCGAAGTCGTTAACATATCCCGCGAACGCCCTGACAACATTATCGTCCCCCGCAATCCCGGAAAATCATGAACACGGATCATCTTTTACGGTTGCGAGACCTTATTATCGTCATCCGCGGATCGCGATCCCTAGGAGTCGTGATTTTCGATCGGGCAATCTTTGCAGACGCTTGCGGCAATTGTAAGAACAGATTATTATATTCTAACAGCAAAATTTAATTCCCAAGAGAAAAAACGTTATTTGAGGCCCAAGGCCCTTTCCTAGGCCGATGAGAGGCCCTCAGCTATCGCTGCACCGTGTCCGCCGTTGGGGGAATACGGCCCTGATTTGGGGGCCTATGTTGGTGTGGGGCCTGGGGCGGACCGCCTCCCCCCCTCGCCCCCCTGTCGGTACGCCACTGACAAAACCCTTTTTTCAAAGCAAAGCTATATTTACATAAATTTGTGTTGAATAATGAAATAGAAATATTAATAGCAAATTTCATCAATTTATTAGCTACACAGAAATGTTCAAATCTATTGGTACCAATTACAATGTGCAAGAGGTATACACATGCAACTTCTCACATGATGTATCTCCTGTATGAAGATATTTGTTGATACGCCAGACACTCTGTGAGCAAATCATGTTAAAATACTAGAGGACTGAGCATTGCTCGGTGTAGTAGGTCATCAATATAAAGCATATATATCCATAGTTTCTAACATATTTTGGATTTAACTAAAAACAATTATATTATAAAATATTGTTTAAAATATGTAATTAAACAAACTGTATGAGAACATTTATTTGTCCTACCAAGGTATTAGAGCTGTTCATACAACATTTTAGCGAATTTCCCTATAGGGAAGTAGCTATTACCGTAGGTCTCATGGTAAGACTTAGGCCCGGGACCGATTTACTTTTTCATTTTGATGTCCCCAGAGGCCAAAAACACCATTCGTTCAAATTTTTATATATGTATATATATATATCTAATATCTAAAATTCTCGTGTCACAGTGTTTGTCTGCAAACTCCTCCGGAACGACTTCACCGATTGTTATGAAATTTGGTGTGTAAATTCTGTAGGTATGCGAATCGGACGTAAACTATTTCCCGTTTCGAAATTCTTAAAAGGGCTCCGCCCCAGTGGCTCTGGAGTTTCCCATGTTAACCTTATGAGAAATGGAATTAATGAATCTTAACAGCTGTTTCAATTAAACAAGTTGGTTCTGTTCTATGATGTTCAATAGCATTAAAGTTACAAGGATTACCAACAGGGTGCAGCACTATTATTTCTTTTACATTTATGACAACAGCTAATTTGCAACCAAAAGGTGAGTGAGCGTAGCGAACGAACTTCAACATGGAGGCGAGTTAGCGTAGCGAACGAGCTAACCTGAAGGCAAGTGAGCGCAGCGAACGAGCTCCAACCTAAAGGTGAGTGAGCGTAGCGAACGAGCTCCAACCCAAAGGTGAGTGAGCGTAGCGAACGAACTTCAACCTGGAGGCGAGTTAGCGTAGCGAACGAGCTAACCTGAAGGCAAGTGAGCGCAGCGAACGAGCTCCAACCTAAAGGTGAGTGAGCGTAGCGAACGAGCTCCAACCCAAAGGTGAGTGAGCGTAGCGAACGAACTTCAACCAGGACGTGATTGAGCGATGCGAACGAGATCATCTTGAAAATTAAACGTAACGGTACTTTCTTTCCATCGGTCTGTCTTAGGGGAAACCTATAACTTAGGCGATACGAAGTTCGCCGGGTCAGCTAGTATATATATATATATATGTCCGTGAACACGATAACTTGAGTAATTTTTATCCGATTTTGATGAAATTTGGTTTGAAGGTGTAAGGCGGGATAAACTTGAATGAGATCGTGATCCAGCATGATCGGACCATGGGAACAGGGTTTTATGGGGGGTTTTATGGGGTAAAAATTGGTTTTTCTCACTTTTGACCCTCAAAACACAAAATTTCCCAATTTTTCTCTAAACCTTCTTAAAGAGCTTAAAAAAACAAACAATTCAGTATATCAAAGTGTTTTTGTACGGTTATTGGTTACGGAGAAAACTAAAAAAATTGTAAATTTAAAATTCCCATGTTATTCTTATGGAGAATATTGTAAAATGTTGTAGTTTGCTTGTTTATGGATATCTTTTGATCAAACTTGGCAAATATATTCATTTTCTACTAAGCAATAATTATTTTACTTAAAACACACACTTTATTAGTTTCCTTGTAGCAGCAAACCTAGGTACTCGTTAAACCTAATGTTATTTAAATAGATCGATTGAAAATCAATTCAGCCAAATGGAAATTCGCTTAGACGGCAGGTTTGCTGCGGCGGGGGTATTATTTACAATTTTCTCATCTCAGTTATTAAGAACCGTTGTAAATAAACTTGCATAACTTTTATGATTGAGAAAAATAGCAAAATATAAATATAACTAGTGGCATGTAGGGACATAAGTCCCTAAAAAGCTGAAATGTAAAACAACTAATTTCAATATTTAAACTAACTAAGAATCAAATTATTTATTTGTCAAGATGGATATGCCTGTACACTATATCTTTGTCTAAAAAAGTCCCTCTGTTTGCTTTGGTTGTTGTGTTTTGTTGTTGTTGGATATGACGAAATTCCAACTAAAATTCTAAAAGAAGCCAAATCAGTTCTATTAAAGCCATTGGTTCACGTTATAAACTCTTCCCTTATAACTGGTGTTTACCCGGCACAGCTAAAAATTTCCAAGATAATTCCTGTTCATAAAAAGCGGACACTTCAGGAGGTTTCTAATTATAGACCATTAGCAATACAACCATCACTTTCCAAACTCTTTGAGAAAAGTATACTGTACCAATTAATAGATTGTTATGAAAAAAACAATATGTTAGACTCAGAACAACACGGCTACAGAAAAGACAAGTCTACCACATCAGCATTGATATCTTTTATTGAAGATATTTTAGATAATTTAGAAAGACAATTGTGTTGTTGGTGCTTTTTTAGATATGACTAAAGCTTTTGATAGTGTTCACCATACCACATTAATCAATAGGCTTGAAAGTAATGGTATTTCTGGTAAAGAGTTAAACTGGATTAAGTCATACTTAGAAGGGAGGAAACAGTATGTTAACATTAAATTTGTAGACAACAAAAATGAATATGATGTTAAATCTAAGTTAAGACAGGTTAAATACTCGGTCCCTCAAGGATCTGTTTTAGGGCCGTTCTTATTCTTGTGTTATCTGGGAGGTATGCAGGAACTTTTGACAAATAAAATTGATAATATTGGACTATGTCTGTATGCAGATGACATTAGCATGTCAATTCATGACAAAGACAAAACTGAAGACAATTTACTATGCTCATATCCATTCACATTTATCAAATGGATTAGAAATATATGGTGGTACAAGCGACTATAACTTAAAAAGAATATTATGCTTACAGAAGGAGGCTATTAGATGCATGCTAAATTTAGAAAGAGATGCCTCTTGTAAAAACTATTTTAAAGATTTAGGGTTTCTAACAGTTTATAGTTTATACATTTACACAACAATACTTTATGTGAAAAAAAAATGAATCAAAATTACAGCGACAACAGGACATTCATGAGCATGACACAAGGAACATACAAAATTTTACAGTTAAAAAGCATAAAAAAGAAAAATTTAAACAAAGACCAGATTATATTGGCATCAAATTTATCAACCACCTCCCAGAAAGCATTAGGAGAGAGCTGAGTATGAATATGTTTAAAAGAAAATTGAAAACATTTCTAATAATTAATTCTATTTATAGTAAAGAGGATTTTTTTAAACTATGAGTAGACTATTTATTTTAATTTTTAACATTATGTGTGTATAACAATGCAACAACAATTTAACAATGACGCATTCATGTGCAGTTATGAACGTTCTGAATAAATATTTGATTGATTGATTGATTGTTACCTATATTATACTAAATAAAATGTTTGTCCTTGTTACTTAACGACCATCCGATCGTGATGTAACTTTAGGGAAGCAAATAAGTACCATACAAAATTAACAGTTTTATTAGCCACATTGAGTAATATTTTATGGTTTTGGGGTTCTATTTCACAGTTTT